GCATGGGGCGTCTGCAGCTCTTCGAGATCCGCCTGAGCCACGGCCGCGCCGTCTACAGCCCAGGGGAGCCGCTGGTCGGGGCCGTGTGCGTGCGCCTCAGCGCGCCGCTGCCCTTCCGAGGTGGGCGAGGCCGCGCGGCCTGGGGTCTGGGGGCAGGAGGAATGGGCGGGGCGCCGGCGACCCCGGAAGCGGCTGAGGTCCCCGCGGCCCGGGCGCGCCGCTGGCCCCGGCTCTGGACCTGTCGCTGGACTCCGGCTGTAGGGCAAGGGCTCGGGAGTGGCCGGCTGGTCCCCGTAGACCGCCGACCACTGGGCCAGAAGCGCGAGCCTGGCGGGGTGCGACGAGGAAGTCTTGATGGCTTGGCCCGCCCCTGCTGCTGCTTCCTGTCCTCTAAGCCGAGGGGCGTCTCGGAGCTGCCGGCTGGGTCTTAGGCACTGCCCACCTGGCTAAAGGTCACTCCGTCTCCGGAAGTTACTCTTTGGGCTTCCAGGGTCTGCTGCGACTCGCACCTGCTGGTCTTCCCTTCCCGCCCGTGGGGTGACCCACTCTGGTCCCCCTATTCCAGGACAGTCTGTGGTCAGGTGGTTGGGGTGGGTGGTGGGTGGCAACAGGGCTCATGGAAGCCCCAGAACCTGGATCTTTGCCAGTCTTTCCTGTCACCTGGGACGCCTGTGCTCACATCTGCCTCCCGGTCCCTGGCCCAGCCTGGCACCAGGCCACTGAACCTGAGCCTTCCTGGCCAGTTCCCCAGCACCACCATCTCCTCTTCTGCAGTCATCTGGGGCTTTGGGACTGGGGATCAGGTTGCCAAGGCAGTCCTTGATCTTTGAGGTGCTGCCTCTTCAGCCCAGCAGGAGTGTGGCCCTGGACGGGCCCTGAGGGGGAGGTGGACCTTGCCAACTGGCCAGAGAGGCAGCCCTGGTCTCCTCTGCTGAGTCTAAGCTGAGGGTTGCCTGGGCACTTATGCTGCGCCCTAACTTACAGAACTTTCTGGGGCTTGTTGGGCAGCTTCTTGGTGGCTTGATGACCCCTTTGCTACTAGGGGTTAGGGGTGCGAGCTATGTATGGCAGGGCTGGAGGCAGTATGAAACTTGCCAGTGGAGTGTGGAAGGCTTCTAGCTGACCTCAGTCTAGGGACCATCAAGACGTGGGGACCTGGAATTCAGTTGTAGGTGAATTCCTGGGGCCACAGGAAGCTGTCCAGGTAGGAGGGGCGGACTCTGGATCTGGCAGGATAGCTGATTATCTCAGCTGTGAAGGCCGGGAGGGTACTGTGCTTCCTACATCCCCACCCACCCCTGGAGAACCACCCTGGGCCAGTGAGGGATCAGTGGGGCCCTGGCTCAGGAGACCCGGCAAGCATGGGACCCAGGCCTCAGCAAATGCCTATTGAATAACTGGCCTTGGAGCCAGGGTTGGTGGTCAGGTGGGATGCCCAAGGCCTGGCCAGCTGGGTGGGCAAGGGGGGTGCCCTCAATGGGCTTTCCCGATTTCTCTCATGGGCCAGATGCTATTCTGCCTGCCTTCCATGTTGGGGACCCGTTCCTGGGGCAGTGGGCCTGTCATCTCTCTGGGCACAGGAGCAGGGACTCGAAGGCCACAGTGTTAGTAGAAGGGGATGCCCATGGCCAGGGTGCTGCCCATCTGGGGGAGCTGGTGGGGTGATGATGAGGGTCTGAGACCTTTGGGGATAGAATGGGGGTCAAATAAAGGTCTTCATGGTCAGTGCTCGGGTGAGGGCACAGGAGATCCGACAGGTTCTAGAGAAGAGCCTGTGTTCCGGAAGTTAAGTTGGCAACACCACCAGAGTGATAGCAGACACTGCCTCCAGAGCTGCTGGCTGGAGCCACGTCTGCCGCCCCACACTTCACCTCTGCCCTCTGCGCCTGCCCCTGCCCCTGATGTTGGGTCCCAGGCTGAGCCTGCAGGACAAACCCTGTCCCCATCCTGCCCTGAGGCTGTGCCCAGACAGACAGGCTGCAGTCACTAGTGAAGAGTCACTTACCACTGACACCAGAAGCAAGAGGAAGCCTGCGTCTTTGGCCCGGAAACTGCCAGTGAATCTCCGCCCCTGCCTGGTTGTGTGCTCTGAAAGTTGCTGTCTGTGGGCCCGGGGCCCCTGCCTCTACCTTTGCCGCCATCGTTTTTGGCAGATTGCCAGGTTCTGACACCAGTGGTGCCATCCCAAAGAACAGGCAGGCTCCTAAGCCCAAAATACCCCCCCCCCCCACCATTCCCCTCGGGAGGCCTTCAGCAGGGCCATAACACCTGAACCTGCCGGATCCAACCTGCCAGTCTGGGTGGGAGAAACTGACCACTGTGGTGGGCCAGTCCAGGGTAAACTGACTCCCTGGGGGGCACAGCCTTGTAGGGAGAAGTCCACTTGCCAGAAAGAGGACAGCTGGCCAGGTTCCACTGGCTTGAAGGGTGTGGGCGCAAAGTGAGGCCATGGCACAGACTGAATGTTGGTGCTTTCTCGGCTTGGTTACTCTGGGGTTGGGGGCCTGATTGTTGGGAGCTGTGTCCTCTGCTGTTGGTGGCCCTTGGGTGCCCTTGGGTGCACAGGAGGTGGGTCTGCGAGCTCCTAGTGCCCCCGTTGCCTGCTTCCTGAGGAGCAGAAGGACTTATCAGCATCCTCTGCTCCGAGCAAGCCTTTGCCAACCCAATGGGCTAGAGCAGAGGTTCTCAACCTGTGGGTCGTGACCCCTTTGGCAGTCGAACGACTCTTTCACAGGGGTCGCCCAATCGTAACAGTAGCAAAATTACAGTGATGAAGTAGCAACAAAAATAATTTTGTGGTTGGGGGTCACCACACATGAGGAAATATATGAAAGGGTCTCGGGATTAGGAAGGTTGAGAACCACAGGGCTAGAGGGTTAGTCCTTTGACCCGTGAGGTGGGCTGCCTGCTCCAGTTACCTAATGCTGCGCAAGTTGCCCCAGACTTGAGGCCTGGGACAAATACTGCCTGCGTCCGGTGATGTTTTGGCCGCGGTGTTTACACACGGTAGATTGTGGTTCTCTGTGTCATCAACAGGGTTGCCAGCCCAGGGCCTGTCTTTGGGTTTCAGCAGCCACTGGCCAGCCAGGTCTAGGGTATGTGCCTTGTCCATGGGGGACTGTGCGAGAAGGTGTCTGTCTCGGTCTCCCTGGCAAGAAGAGTTTCAGGCCCCACCCTGAGAGGGGGACAAGTAGAAGTTGGGCAGTGCAGTGGGAAGCAGGGGCTCTCTAGGTGGAGCCTGGCAGGAGCATGGGTAGAGAGCCACCTGAGACCTCGGATGCCACCAGGTGGGAGGAAGCCATGGCTGGTGACTGGGGTGGGGGCAGCCAGGTTGGGCCTGGGTCAGAGGCCTCAGGCAGGCTGGTGGACTCGAGATGCCCTGCTTGTAGCTCTGTCAGGAGGGTGTTCGTGTCCGGTCACTTGAACTTGGCAGGGGGGTGAGTCTTTGGTCTTGGCTTAGCCCTACCAGGGGAGAGGGGTGGGCTGCAGGCTCCTCACTCAGTATTTGACATTTTTGCTGAACCCGTGGGCTCCCAAGCTGCACATCCTTGTGGGAGGTGACAGCCGAGGACGGACTGGTGGCTTTGTGGTTAGCAGCCCAGTGCTTACACAGTAAAGCCACCAGGGCTCATTGGGCTGGGCGGCAGGAATTTGAGGCACCCGAGGGAGCAGGGTGTCTCTGCAGACTGGGTACCTCTCCCAGTCTGGGGAGCGGTGGGGACCAAGTCATCTGTGAGGTGGGCAGTCCTGGCAGGGCAGCATCTGGTCAGGCAGGTCTGACCACATTCCTGCAGGGGAGACTGGTAGCCAGCTTCCTGTAACTGCAGTGGCCACCCTGGCTGATTTGCCCCTGGCAGCCCATGGTGGGAATTCCCACAGGTTGAAGGTTTCCAGACCTGGCCGGAAGCCAGGGTCATCAGATCAGGGTGACCTGACTGCCCTGGGTTGCAGGAGAGACCTAACTGTCCATCCAGCTCTTGACACACCTGCTCTCTGGGAGTACCCCAGGAGGTGGGTGGTAGGGAACACCTCTGAAGAGGGGCTGCCTGGATGCCCACACTGTTCTGGGGAGGGGGCCCAGGCTGGCTCTGGGGCTCATGGCCACCCTTGTTGCAGCCATCCGGGTGACCTGCACAGGGTCCTGCGGGGTCTCCAACAAGGTCAACGACGCCTCCTGGGTGGTGGAGGAGGGCTACTTCAACAGCTCCCTGTCACTGGCAGACAAGGGTGAGTCTGGGCAGCCCTCTTGGGGTCGGGCGGCTGAAGGGGCAGGCTTCTCCAAGGTCCAGGCTGCAAAGGAGCTGCTCCGAGCCCTGGCACGGTGCTGTCCTGGGCTGCGGATGAAGGTACAGAGCTCTCCACTAGCCAGCAGAGTGGGCAGGGCAGGAGGCCCAGCCAGGAGGCGGGCTATTCTGTACCTGTCCCCTACACCCTCTGTCTTGTCTCTGTAGGGAGCCTACCGGCCGGTGAGCACACCCTCCCCTTCCAGTTCCTACTCCCTGGTGAGAGCCCAGCTTGGCTGGGGCCTGGGCTGAGGCAGCGGGGCTGGGAGGCAGCTGGTGGGCACGAGGCAGCAGGGCTTGGGCTGAGGCAGGGGGGCTGGGAGGGGGCTGGCGGGCAGCAGGGTGCCATTGTGTGCTGTCTGCCGCAGCCACAGCACCCACGTCCTTTGAGGGGCCCTTTGGCAAGATCATTCACCAGCTGCGGGCCTCCATTGACACGCCGCGCTTCTCCAAGGACCACAGATGCAGCCTGGTGTTCTACATCTTGAGCCCGCTGAACCTGAACAGCATCCCCGACATTGAGGTGAGGGGTGCAGGCAGGCGAGCGGGGCTGCTAGCCCAGGAAGGCTCAGGCCCAGTCCACTTGCTCACAAGCCCCTCCCTCCCCAGCACCCCAACGTGGCCACGGCCACCAAGAAGTTCTCCTACAAGCTGGTGAAGACGGGGAGCGTGGTCCTCACGGCCAGCACCGACCTGCGTGGCTACGTGGTGGGCCAGGTGCTGAGGCTTCAGGCGGACATCGACAACCAGTCGGGCAAGGACACTGGCCCTGTGGTGGCCAGTCTGCTGCAGGTCAGCCCCCCTGGTGGCCCCAGGAATGGTGTCCCTGACCTGCAGGCCCTGGGGGGGGTGGCTGTGGTGGCCCTGGCTGTCCTGTGGGCCCTGGGAGGGGGCTGTCCATGGTAGCGCTGTGGCTCACAAGCTGGCCCTCTCTAGAAAGTGTCCTACAAAGCCAAGCGCTGGATATATGATGTGCGGACTGTCGCTGAGGTGGAGGGCGCAGGCGCCAAGGCCTGGCGGCGCTCGGAGTGGCAGGAGCAGATCTTGGTTCCCGCGCTACCTCAGTCAGCTCTGCCAGGCTGTAGCCTCATCCACGTGGACTACTACCTGCAGGTGCTGGAGGGAAGGCAGGTTGGGCAGGGGAGCTTAGCCCCTGGCCTCAGGCCTCACCGCCCCTCCCACCTCAGGTGTCCCTGAAGGCCCCGGAGGCAACAGTGACCCTCCCTGTCTTCATCGGAAACATTGCTGTGAACCACATCCCGCCCAGCCCCCTGCGTGCCCAGGTGGTGCCCTCAGCCCCGCCCCAAGAGGACATGGAGGGGGTCGGCGCCGCCAGTGACATGGACCCTGTGGCCCCTCCGGGTATGGAGGTCCACTCCCCTGCCCCCTTCAGTTGCTCGCCAGGCGCCCCAGCACCCTGTGCTCAGGACCGCAGCCCTGTGCCCCAGCCAGCGACTGCTCCCTTGTGTATTTCCACGGGCGCCACTGTCCCTTACTTCATGGATGGCCCTGGAGGGCCGGTGTCTGCTGCCAGCCCTCCGGTTCTCCCTCCAGAGTACAGCACGTGGGGCTATCCCCGTGGTGAGTGGGGGCGGGGTGTGGAAGGCGGGGCGGGGCACGGGCGCCACCTGGGCCCTCACCTCCGACCCCACTCTCTCCTGCGCAGAGGCCCCTCCATCCTACGAGCAGAGTTGCGGCTGTGTGGAGCCTGGCCCGAGCCTCCGGAGCTGACGGCCCTCGGGGTGCCTTCCTGGGCCGCAGGCAGGCCCAAGACCTCGTGCCTTTTCCCAGGCGTGGCTGGACTACTCAGGACCCTTGGTTACCGACCTCTGCCCCACTGGGTCCTCCGCACTGTGCATGCACACCCCCCACACCCCACAAGGCTCCTCTGCCCAGCGCTGGAGTACAAGGAACAGGAGCCTCGGTGTAAATAAAGCGCTTTATTTGTAAAGCTAGCAGAGGTCAGCCTCTTCCTGCCTGGAGACCACCCCAGGCTGGTCTCAGCCCCGCGGGAGTTCCCTACTCTGGGCTGGGGCCAGTGCACACCCTTGCCGCCCAATGGGCCCCACCCCAGTGTTGGCAGGGGACGCCTCTGGCCCTGCACTGGGCCCAGCTTCAGTGAGCAGCCGCAGCTCCGCTGGGTCCCTCTAAGCCAGGACAGTGCCTGGGTTGTGTCTGGCCCTCCATGCTAGTTAAGGTGGTTTGGGGACCTGGAAAAAGCCCCCTCCCCTGATTTATTAGAGCTTATGTTGGCTTCCCATTCTTCTGTATGGGTAGCTAGTTCTTGGGGGACAGGTCCTACTCTAGGTTCCCTCCCCAGGAGATTGCCTCTGCTGACATGTGCCTTGGTTCCCACCCAGGTATGGACACAACCCCACTCACACAGCGCCCCTACTTTTCAAAGGACTGGCCCCCAGAACCCAGGGCAAAATAACGACGCAGAATGATGTCCAGCCAAGTGCCTGGGAGGGAAGGTGGCCAGTGATCACCCCTTAGTGGGAACTAACTAACTCTGGGTTCAAATCCCAGCTCTGCGGGTGTTCAGAGCTGGGAGGGAGCCAGGCTGTGCCTTTAAGTACAAACGTGTGGAACCTTTAGAGGACAGGCTGTCTCCCCTCCCCGCAAATACAAAGCTATGCTGGTAGTTTCTTGTACATGGAAGAGTCCTGGGCAGCAGGTCCTGTCCTCGTGGCATAGCTCTGGCTCAGGCCTGTGACCCTAGTTTCCTGGGAGGCTGGGAGATGGAGTCAGCACTGTGCACTCATGCCTGATCCTTGCTACCAGGAGGGCAAGTGGCTTTAAGGGCTGGCATGTTCCAGCTGAAATGCATGTGTAGAAAAAGAGGATGGATACTGTAGGAAAGCCTCAAATGCCACAGGTGGGGTCATCTGCGACACCTGCTCAAAGGAGCTTGGGAGGAAGCGTTCTGCAGGAGGTTCTCTGGGTCTGAAATGTCAGTCCCTGGCTCTCCCAGCCGTAGACTTTTCCGGAGGCACTGGGCCACCCAGGGTGACATGAAACTCACACATAATCTGTGTTCACAGGAAGGCAGGAGAACACTTCCCACAGACTCATTCACAGTGGATATTTGTGTTTTGAGGCTCTCTCCACACCGTCACTTCTATTCAGGGAGCACATATTGGCTTTTAGCATAGCAGATGGCTGTTTCAGGCACTGGGCATTCTAGTGTCCAGACCGGGCAACAGGCTTTTGATAAGCGCGGTCACAGGGTCAGATGCCTTCAAAATTATGAAAGTAGTCAGGGCACAGAGATGCTTTTAAATCAGGAGGCTTCCTTTAAGATCCCTGAGATAAACGTGTCCTAAGGGGGAAGGCCTAGGGAGTCCCAAAGCAGCAGTGGAGAGGGTGGTGCCACCAAGAACTGGCCTTCCAAATAGGGCAGGGCCCAGAAGCGAGTCTGGCCTGATGGGAGGTGACTGGGTTCACATCCACCTCTCTGTGCCAGTGTGTACTGGCATGTCAGAGGTGGCTCCCTGGTTCTTGTCACTGCAGTCTCCAACCTTCACATTCCAATGACTGCCTAGAGAGCCCGTTTCAGCCGACTTCCTTTCTTCTTAGCTCCTGGGCAGCAAGTGGCGCAAGGCAGTGGCGTACCCTGGCTGCCAGTGCACGGGAGAGGGGTCTGGCGTGGCCAAGGAGGTCTTCTGGCCTGGAGCCTGGTAGGGATCCCCACAGGGACACCCTAGTGGAAAAACACCCCTGACTGGGTACCTCCCCCTGACCCTCCGGGGGGGGCCCCCCCAAACGCGCCCACACTCCGTTGAAGCAGGTGCCCTCGCCAGTCAAGTACCTTGCACATCTGGCTCCCTGCCCCCACGAGCCCCTTGCCTCGGGATACAGCTCGGGGTTTTCACTAAAGGTGCAGGAATTTTATGTGTTTGAGGTTATAGGTAAGAGGCCATAAGCCTGGTGTCCTTCACCACGCTCCTTTTAGGAAACAAGAGGTCAGCTGAAAACGTGAAGACTAAACCCCAGCCACTGCGTCGTCGACTCATTCTCAAACCGGTTTCCGGGGGAGGCCGCCGCCTCGCGGGCAGGGCATCAGTGCGCAGGCGCAGCGGCCCCTAGCTTGGAATCCTAGTGTAGGTCCGGAGGCCGCACGGTCCGAAACTCAGCGCGCAGGCGCAGGTTCCCCACCGGCCCGCACCACAATGCGCAGGCGCAGGCGGCACACAGCCAGGTCCTCAGCGCGCAGGCGCCGGCACTGGCGCAGGCGC